TTAATATACCTATTATTTATGGGTTTGAATGTGATAGACTATAGTCACTGATAGTGATATAGAAAATGGTATAAGGCCTGGTATAAAACTATTTTATGTTCGTGGTATAACTGTATAAGACTATGATAGTATTAATATCATTATGAAGGTAAAACGGTAAACATACTACAAACATTAAAATGTATTATTAGAATTGCGGATAACATACAACAGGTATATTATAATCTCTTGTACCTACTGGTGCGCGGAAACATTATGACGTGATAACTGATAAGCGAATCATTAGCTTAGCTACCTGTCRGCRCGCGTCGTGTGGTTAAWAATTAAAAATGCAATTTCTAAAAAATTKTATAGCTCTCAAGCATAGAGTTTTGCATTAATTAATGTTGTTCATTCACTAAAATGTRTTTTAAAAAATCCTTTACATTATGATTGCAAAAAAGTATAGGCTTCCATTTGAATTTTTAAAGTTAACCTCTCAAAACCCCCATAAAATTTTGTAAACATTTATTAAATTGTGAAATCATAATAGATGTTTTTAAATAAAAAAAACTTTTGTATCATACATTTTTCACTATTTTGAATATTTATATGATAAAATGGCTGTAACATAAATTTTGAATCACCCTGTATATTATGTGGATCAACAACACTATATATAGGTACTAAAAAAAATGTGTTTTATTGATATCTACTGGTTGACTGTCCGGTACAGATTCCCCAGGGTATCATCCATATGAAACTATGACAGTAAAAAAAGGATAATAATATCTGATTCGTTGAATTCTGAAAAAATGTATAACTTGAGAAAAATATAAACAGAAACCGATCATAGGTATATTATTCTAAACAAAAAACAATAAAAAAAATCAGTATATCTGATTTCATTGCTGGTGTTATTGATTTTTTTTTACGAATAATTGGTTATTTATTATGTTTTGTTGACATTTATATAGTTGTTTTCAAATAAAAATACCAAAAAAAAAAAACTATACCCATGGCTTGAATTACAGATAACTACAACTTATATTGAGTTTTCACGCTCGAAATAATCTCCAACTGCAAGGTTTAATGGTTAACGAGTGGGTGGTATATAACTAAAAAAAATCGAGAAAAGCATATTAACCCATTAATTACAAACATAATTTACAATAAGCATACTGGGTAAAAATAATATCACAATGCAAGAATATGGTAAACGATTTAATAAAAAATCTATGATAGGTTGTATTTCAATAGCTGGTACATAATTTCTTATTTTTACATTCAAGCTAATAGTTTAATCTTTTCTAGTCTGGAATTTGTACAATACCAGAAGTAGTTGTATTCAAACGAATGGTGTAGGTGCGGTGTAGTTTTTAAAATATTTCAACAATTCGTATTTCGTATTATAGCTAAGAGGTATAATATGGATATTGGATAGTTGACATTACACTACACACATGCATTTTTATTGTACGCAAATACTCATATTAATGTAAAATGTACATGTATTGGATGTATATATACACTGAATATATACGACCTGAAATGTGCCTAGATTTTTATCCGAATTGAAAACCAATACATTTAC